AGTCTTTACTAGACCTTTTTTATTATTGTTTGAAATCATATAATGTATTGAATCCAGTCTTTCCTAGAGCTAATTTTATTATTGTTTGAAATCATATAATGTATTGTATCCAGTCTTTACTAGAGCTATTTTTATTATTGTTTGAAATCATATAATGTATTGTATCCAGTCTTTACTAGAGCTATTTTTATTATTGTTTGAAATCATATAATGTATTGTATCCAGTCTTTACTAAAGCTTTTTTATTATTGTTTGAAATCATATGGTTTATTGTATTCAGAATTTACTGGTTTTTGTTTGGAATTATTTTTAAACATTGAAAATAATAAACATTAATATAGAAAATAAGTTAAATCGTGCATAATTAAATTTTGAGTGAAATAAATTCGTTTTAACGGAAATTAAAAATATAATTATAATTATAAAAACGATTGTTTCAACTTTCTATACTTTTACATTTTAATTTGGGCCAACATAGCCCTTGTGGCGGCAGGTACAATTTACTATCAGCCTTCCTTCAGGTCAATAGCTCAAAATTAGGGATGGCTACGCCTGAAACCTGGTAGTCACAGGTTGAAAATACAATTAACATTTTTCTTGTATTACAGTTACTAGTTTGTTTTTGTTAATCGAATGTAGTAGCGACCTTCTAAGTGTTGCGGAATTGTAACCCAAACGTCCGAACCTATTTTCTCTAAAGATAATCAGGTACTCGATTATACAGTTCTGAACATTGGCGATTCCAAAATGACCCCTAAAACCACTGAGCTGGAGCGATTGTCTTAATCGCATATTGTACAACAATGGGTCAACGCTTGACAAAGAAATGGGGGTGGAAGGGTACTTCGTGATGTGCCTATTTTCTGTGAGAACAAAAAACATTCTTCTGAAAATTGCCTGATTCTGAAGATATAGTCAGGGGAAAGTAATGATCTTTCAGCGATAGTATTCTGGGTAACGGGACTGAGTAATAATGGTTTGGTTCCACGTGGTTATTAATCAGACAACTGCGTGTTTCAAGTGTTTCATAAGGTATTATTATTATTAATTTTTTTTTTTTATCCAATGAAAGTGAAAATCAAGCTAATTTTTATCGAAAGATGGTTCAAGGAAGGCTGCTCAAGTAAGAAATGGCCTAGTTTTACTGTGATAACTACGTTGGCCGTATTTATAAGGACATTGAATTGAGATGTTATTATGATTTTTTAAAATCGAGGGTAATCAGCTGATGAAACAATTATTTCTAATCTTGATAGCTAGAAACTTGAGAAACTTGTATTCACTTAGATATACCGATTGTAATGTTAATTTTTACTTCGCCCTAAGTACGTAGCTTGCTCTTAAGTTAATATCAATCATTGCTCCGTAACAGTGTAACCTCACTTCGATGGATACATGAAAGGAAAATAGGGTTACAGACTGTAAAAAGTCGTTAATGCTCCGTAAAGAGTTTGAAACGAGAGATTCCCTATTATGATACTGAAGTTTGGTTGTTGTTTTTTACTTGACACCAGGCGTTAAATAGGTTTCAGAGAAGAGAAATCGTGAATCACAAAGAGAAATAAAGACTAAGAAGCTAACTGTTTATAGGCGAACTCGTAAAGTCTGATATTTTGACATACACTTTGTATGTTTCTCTTTAACCATCAATAAGTATTTCAATTTGGCGTAAAGGAAAGGAGACCTGTCTTGCCATCACATACGAGAAAGGGGACTTGTACATATATCTTTGCCATCATATACGAGAAAGGAAACCTGTACATATGTTTTGCCATCACATACGAGAAAGGAGACTTTTAAATATATCTTTGCCATCATATACAAGAAAGGAGACTTGTACATATATCTTTGCCATCATATACAAGAAAGGAAACCTGTACATATGTCTTGCCATCATATACAAGAAAAAAGACTTGCATATATGTCTTGCCATCATATACAAGAAAAAAGACTTGTATATATGTCTTGCCATCATATACAAGAAAGGAAACTTGTACAGATATCTTTGCCATCATATACGAGAAAGGAAACTTGTACATATATCTTTGCCATCATATACGAGAAAGGAGACTTGTACATATATCTTTGCCACCATATACAAGAAAGGAGACTTGTACATATATCTTTGCCACCATATACGAGAAAGGAAACTTGTACATATATCTTTGCCATCATATACGAGAAAGGAAACTTGTACATATGTCTTTGCCACCATATACGAGAAAGGAAACTTGTACACATATCTTTGCCATCATATACGAGAAAGGAAACTTGTACATATATCTTTGCCATCATATACGAGAAAGAAGACTTGTACATATATCTTGCTATCATATACAAGAAAAAAGACTTGTATATATGTCTTGCCATCATATACGAGAAAGGAAACTTGTACATATGTTTTGCCATCATATACAAGAAAGGAAACCTGTACATATGTCTTGCCATCATATACGAGAAAGGAGACTTGTACATATGTCTTGCCATCATATACAAGAAAGGAAACCTGTACATATGTCTTG